GTTCAATATATTACATTTCATGGCACCATCTGTGATCCTCAAAAGTTTAAAAATAACCAAAACAACTTTAGTCATCAGGGTAACACCGCCCTGTTTTCATGTCCCGACCTACTGTAACACACAAAGATGCTGAAAACTAACAATCTATAACTCTTGTCTTTGGACGGGGATGACAAAACAAATGTGCATTGCACAGCACTAACTGAAGAAGCTAATTAACGTCTTTCAGCCCAGAACAAAAGACACTGCCTCATTCAGCAGTTTTTAACTTCATCCATGTCACAGCACGGTCGCTTTGACGAGTCCTGCACGTCAACAGATGGCAGCAGTGTGTTTGTGTGTGTGTGTGTGTGTGTGTAAGTCTCTGCATACAGGCTGCAGTTCAACCCGTCATGTTAACAAGAAGAAACAATACCAATGTGTACACGTGCAGTATGTTAATTTGCCTGTTTTGTCTCTTTGTGTGTACACGTGTTTCGCTGTTATTGCTTCATTAGGATGCAATTAAAGCCTAATAAACTCAGTCTAATTAAATCCTAATTCAACATGTCCACAATGTGCGAACTCATGAGTCATCTATACTTCTTACACGTATTTGCATCCAGTCAAAGACAGTAACAAGGACATCTTTGCCTATGGGAATTTGGGTCAGTGTTACTGAATTATTAACAACATCTGCATATCAAAGTTGGATAATAATTCAATCTCTGTCATTATTAAACCACTACACATCCCGCGGCTGGAAATAATTCAGTATTATCCTTTTCCGACCTTCAGTGGGTTTGCTTTATCTTCAAATATTATTATAACACTGATTTTTAGTAGAGGATAGTGTCATTTCCACGATGTTTTTCACTCTTTTTTTGTATAATTTGTCACAGTTGTTAGGTGCATTAGCATTAATTGTTGCTTCTGTTGATTTTGGAACAGAAAAACCTAATCTGTCTGGACAAGAAAAATTCAGGTTCCTCCAAACTGCCTCTGTGGCTCATTGAGGAGAGTAGCTGCAGCTATACCTGTATATTTGACAGCATGGCAACAATATGCCATGCTATTAAGTTTAGACTATCGTGTAAGCACATGTTTTTGCCTGGGAAACCATCACAGCCATTCATTATACTGCTGGTCAATTTAAACTTTCAACCT